CATCTTGTACCCACAATCCTGTACCCACAATCATGGCGTAATCACCATGACGTAATCATCGTCCCGTAATCACCTGAATGATTGCGGTACAACACAGTGAAGGTCACGCCGACCTCACTGATGACGCGTTCGCGTCACACGGTCGCTTGGCGAGGCGTCGTCACATCAGTCTTGACAACACTCCCACTCGACTCGTCAGCGACCACGATGCCCAGCTTCGTCCTGAGCGCGTCGAACTGCGGCGCCGCGATCGGCTTCGTCATGATGTCCGCCAGCATGTCGAGTGTCGAAACATACTGCAACACCACTTGACCGTCTTCCACCTTCTCGCGCACGAAGTGGTAGCGAATGTCGATGTGCTTGGTGCGCTTGTGGAACTCCGGGTTCTTGGCCAACGCGATGGAGCCTTGGTTGTCCTCGTAGATCTTCACCGCTTCATCGCTCGCCATCTCGCCCAGCTCGCACAGAAACACCTTGAGCCACACCGCCTCCTGCGTGGCCTCCGACAGCGCCATGTACTCGGCTTCCGTCGACGAGAGCGCCACCGTGCGCTGCTTCTTGCTTCGCCAGCTGATGCATCCGCCGTTCATCATGAACGCGTTGCCGCTCGTACTCCGTCGAGACTCGATGTCGCCGGCCCAGTCCGCGTCCGAGTAGCCTTGCAGTCCGTCCTCGCTGCTCGCTTGAAACACGAGGCCGTGCGTCTTCGTGCCTCGGATGTAGCGGAAGACCCTCTTGAGCGCCTGCCAGTGTGTCGGACATGGATCCGCTGCGAACTGGCTCAGCACTCCCACTGCCGCTGCGAGGTCCGGACGAGTCCCCACCATGAGATACATGAGGCAGCCCACGGCGTTCCGGTACGGAACATTCGCCATGGTCTCGTCGTGCTTGCAGCCTCCCTCGCACATGGCCTTGGTCAGCTTCAGACCCGGATCCTGCGGTGTCTTCACAGGGTTGCTCTCATCCATCTTGAACTTCTCGAGAATGTCCTTCGCGAACTTGGTCTGCCGCACCGACACCTTCCCAGTCGCCACATCTTGCTCGATCTCCATACCGAGGAAGTACTTGAGCTGGCCCATGTCAGTCATCTCGAACCGGTCACTCAGCGCCTGCTTCGTGTCCTTCAGCGCCTGCTTCGTGTCCTTCAGCATCCCGTCGCTGCTGCTGGCGAGGACCAGATCGTCCACGTACAGTGCCACGAACATCATGTCGTGATTGTCCCGCTTCAAGTAGATGCAGTGGTCGGACTCGCACTTCTTGAACCCCAGCTTCAACATGAACTCGTCGATCGTCTTGTTCCACATCCGCGGCGACTGCTTCAGACCGTACAGCGAACGCTTGAGCCGGCACACGTAGTCGGGTCGATCTCCGTCCACATATCCGTCCGGCTGCGCCATGTAGATGTCCTCGTCCAACAAGCCGTTGAGGAACGCGGTCTTCACATCCATCTGGTGCACTGTGAGCTTGTACTTGGCCGCCAGACTCAGCAACACCCGAATCGACGTGAACTTGGCCACCGGCGCGAACGTCTCGTCGTAGTCGATGCCGTACTTCTGCGAGAACCCCTTCGCCACCAGTCGCGCCTTGAACCGCTCGATCTCTCCAGACTGGTTCTCCTTCACGCGGAACACCCATCTGCAGCCGATCGCCTTGCGTCCCTTCGGCAGTGGCACCAGGGTCCACGTCTCGTTCTTGCGGAGCGACTCCACCTCCGAGTCGCACGCCTCTTTCCACTTGTCTGCGTCGCTGGATTCCATCGCCGACTTGAACGTTGTCGGCATCTCTCCCACTGAATCCACGACGTACGCAGCCTCGAAGTCTTCCTTCTCTTGTGCTGCGGCAGACATCTCGTCCAGCGGCTGCTGTCGTCTCGGCACCACATACCGCTTGGCACTCGGAACCTCCACGGCTTCCTCGAGCGACTGCGTGCGCGGGTGTCGCTTGCTGCCGGGTTCAAAGTCTTGATTCCGCGCAGCTTCTTCTCTGTTCTCGTCTGATCCGGACTGAGTCTCTTCATCCGTGGTGTCTTCATCATCATCTGTCGGAAGACCCACCAACACCTCCTTCGAAGCGTAGTCGCGTCTCCCACCGTCGAAGACATCCTCCATGAACTGCGCGTCGCGGCTCACCAACACGCGACCGCTCTCGATCTCCTCGAACCGATACGCCTTCTCGTGCTCCGAGTACCCGAGGAAACGACAGCGCACCGACCGAGCGTCAAACTTCGACCGCTTCTCCTTCGGCACGTGCACGTACGCGTGGCACCCGAACACCTTGAGGTTGGCCAGCAAAGGCTTCTTGCCGGTCCAAACGTGGTGCGGCGACTTGTCGTGACTGATGGCGCGCGTCGGACACCGGTTGCGGAGGAACGTGGCCGTCATCACCGCTTCTCCCCAGTACTCCTTCGACAACCCGGCGTGCTCCAGCATGCAGCGCGCACACTCCACCAGCGTCCGATTCATTCGCTCGGCCACTCCGTTGAGCTGAGGCGTGTATGGCGGCGTGAACTTCTGCTCGATGCCGCGATCCGCACACAACTTGGCCATCGCACCTGAAGTGTACTCGCCGCCGTTGTCGCTCCGAAGCATCTTCACTCGCTTGCCGGTCTGCGTCTCAGCCAACGCGACGAACGCAGCGAACTTGGCAGCCACCTCCGACTTGTTCCGTAGCAGGTACACCACGCAGAAGTGCGACTTGTCGTCGATGAACGTGACGAAGTAGCGCTTGCCTCCGAACGTCGCCGTCTGCATCGGACCGCACACATCGCTGTGGACCACCTCCAGCACTTGCTTCGCACGGTTCGGCGACGACTTCATGAAGCTTACTCGCGTTTGCTTGCCGAGTGCGCACCCGTCGCACACCTCCCACTGCTTCACCGACGTCATTGGGATGCCAGTGCCGTAGCCCTTCTTGACGATGGCGTCGAGACCACCATGGCCGATGTGACCAAGTCGAAGGTGCCAGAGGTACGACGTGGTGTCCCCTTGGCGATTCTTCGAGCTTGCCGCATTGGCCTCGTCAGCAGGCGTCCTCGGCGTCATGCAGAGCTTGAACAGTCCTTTGCCTTCGCGAGCGCCGAGCTTCCACTTGAGACCCTTCGTTTCCGCAAAGCACCCGTCGCTCTCGAAGGTCACTGGCCCGACGTCCTTGGTGAAGCGGCCGACGGAGAACAGGTTGCGCGACAGCTTCGGGATGTCGTGAGCACACCCTTCTTCATGCCGCGCGGTGTCTGCATCGACATCACGATGTCGCCGCTCCCCACCGCCTGAACCACGCCGTCGTCCGCCAGATGCACGTCCACCGGAGAGATCTTCTTGTAGTTCTTCATGTACTCCTTCGAGTACGTCATGTGCTGCGTCGCACCCGAGTCGACCAGCCACATGCCGCTCAGCTTGGAGGCACCCGTGTCGCCACCAACCGAGAAGAGGAAGTCGCCAGAGTCATCTTCGACCTGCGCGACGTTCGCTCGTTGCGGCCTCTGCCGCTCCCCGTTCTCGCGGATCCGCACCGGACACTTGGCGATCCAATGTCCGTGCTCGCCGCAGTAGTGACAGGCGCTCGTCCTCTGCGCTTGCGCCTGCCGTCCCTTGCGCTTCCCGTTGTCGCTTGTCATGAACGCTTGACCTTGAGCGTGCGCGGTTCCGTCAGCACCGCCACCTTGTTCCTTGCGCTTCATGTCCTCGTGCAGGAGCCGAGACGTCACGAGCTCCCACGTCAGCGTGTCGGAACGCGATTCCAACGCCGTGATGAGGAACTGGTACGACTCGCTCAGACTGGCAAGAAGCGTGATCACCAAGTCGTCCTCGCTGACCGGAGCGCCGACCGCGTCGAGCTGTTCCGCCAGCGTCTTGAGCTTGTTAATGTGCTCCAGCACATCATCACCTTCGTCCATCGTTGTCGTGAAGAACCGTCGACGAAGAAAGAGCTTGTTCGCCAGGCTCTTCTTCTCGAAGTGTCCCTCGAGTCTTGACCATGCATCATGCGCGTCCTTCGCCGACCGCACCAGCGGCAGCTGCGAGTCCTCCAACGCGAGACAGACGATCGCCAGCGCCTTGCGCGACTTCTTGCGAAACGTCGCTTGGTCCGCCGCGGTCGTGCACTGCTCGAGCTTCACTTCCCCACTCGTCACTTCCCACAGTTCGCGCTCCTCCAGCACCATCTGCATCTTGAACTTCCATGTGTGGAAGTTGGTTCCGTCGAACTTGTTGATGCGGGCGGTCGCGGTCGGGGCGGCGTCCATGGCGAAGGCGTAGTCGGGGTCTTGGTCAGGGAAGACGGGGCTTGGGCTCATAACCAAAAGGAAGAGCACTTGAGCAGTAGTTGGCAAAATGCAAAGTGATTCGATTCAGGTCCTTAGTTCGCAACCGCGTGCTACCTCTAAGCCTGCTACTGGATACCTCTTACTGGATACACCCTACTGGATTCTCTACTGGATACACAGTTACCTTATCCAATCAGAGAACGCCACGTCGATGCCCATCTTGTACCCACAATCTTGGCGTAATCACCGTGACGTAATCATCGTCCCGTAATCACCTGAATGATTTCGGTACCACACAGTGAAGGTCACGCCGACCTCACTGATGACGCGTTCGCGTCACACGGTCGCTTGGCGGGGCGTCGTCACATCAGTCTTGACAACACTTCTCATAACTCGTTCCTGTCGGAAGATAGTTGCAGATATCAAGAATCTTGTAAGCATTGGTAGAGATACACATATAGCTCGGGTTCTTGATAACACTCTTGATGTTATTGACTCCGAGAACAGTGAATAGATCGTTCTTGATGAGGTTGATATCATATGAACCAGAGTTGAACCCAATGACTGGAACTTGATAGATGATTCTCTCAATGGTCTCGATCTCTCTCGCAAATTTCGAGTTCTTATCCATAAACGCTTTCAACTTCGGGTTTTCCTTTCTCATCTGCTTAATGTTCCCGAAATTTACCCCTTCCATGATTCCATGGTTCTTCTTTGATAGATACTCGATCTTCTTATCTACCGCTTCGAGGAGAGGCTTGAACTTATTTTCATTGTACATATCGATCTGCTTGCTGACTGTATTGAAGTATTCGAACATGTCCGTAATAAGTTGGAGAGGCGATTCGTTGATGAAACATCGAACCTCATTCGTAAGGCTATCACATACACTAACCGACACAGGAATATGCTTATTCGTGTGAATAGTGCTTTCTCCATGCTGAGTATTCGTCTCCATCAAAATGGCTTTGAAGTCAAAGACAATAAAATGATCGATGTAGTGATCGACACCTTTGACCCAGTACTTAGTGAGCAGTTTCTTGACTTGGTTCTCCGAAGGTTGATATATCGTTGGAGTCGAAGGAAATGACTCGAGTACGTCGAATTGACACTTCGTCTTCTTATGGTTCTTAAGCTTCTCGCACGTATCGAAAATAGCATCACATACGTTGCAAGGGTACTTAGAAAGAACTGTGTCAATATTCTTGATATACATGGCGTGCCCCTTGTAGCCAAGAATATTAATAACGTTGTCGTAGGTCTTCACAGATTCTCGAATCTTCGAGATCTCAAGAGTTTGTTGATCCATCTCAAATACATTGATTAAGAGGTTGAAACAGTCCTCCAACTCATCAAACTGCATAAGATCGATTGGCTCCATTTCCTTAAATACTTTACCCGAGTATGTAATGTTCTTGAACTCACAATATTGCTTGATACGAGTCTTCACCGGTTTAATCATTCGGTCAGAGCGAGCTTCGTTATCGAGATGGTAAGCAATACAATAAAACATACACTTATTGTTTGTCTTAGGGAAATCAATGATGAATTTATTTTTCTTGATAGAGTCAGGGATAGTAATCGAATCTCCCAGGATGTGATCGCGCTTGTAAATCATGATATTAGCCATGGTAATCTCCTTGAGCTGATAACTCGAAGAAGGGAAGCTGATTCTCTCAGTGAAATCCTTTGAGTTCAACTCATCGAGGATTTTAGTCTTAATATCAGCCTTTGAGTTGATGTAGATTGGCTCGTCAAACAGAGACGTGTTTGTGGCTGGAGTGTAGTTTCTCTCAAGCCCAGTGATACGATCGATAAGTTTGTAGCCAAGCTGAACGTTTGCGCGGAACGCCTTGGTCTCTTTACCAAGAGTTGAGGTAATCTTGTTGATGATCTCACCGCGAGAGTAGTTCTCATAGAGGTGGGAATCATATGTCTTGGTTGAACTATGCTTGTATGAAGCCGGAGCCTTGTAGTTAGGAGTGAAGTGCTTAGTGATACGAGACTTAGGAATCTTGTACTGCTTCGCGAGAAGCTCACGGTTCTTACCTTTATCAAATGATGAGATGTATACCTTACGCCCGTACTGGTTCTTAACCATGACACGGAACGAAGATCCCCATCGCTTAACTGGAATGTGAAGTCGCTTGAGTGCGTCAAGTTCGTAAGAAAGCATATCGACTATATGTGAGGTGAGATAAAAATATTGGTGAACACTTTGTATATTATCCCATTTTCGCTCAAATATGAAAACTTTTCCTATTGGTGATATTGATCGAGAAAAAAAAATATAATCTCATTAGTCGAGAGCGATCCTACCGGCGGCTCTACGCTTAGCGTTGTATTTCTTTTGACGATCTTTGATCTCGTCGCGATGCTGATCATCGTACGTCTTCTGGCGTGCGAGAATTTTTTCACGATTCTTCTGGTAGTAGCGTCGCTTCGCCGCAGCGATCGCCTCCTTGTTAGCTTGATACTTTTCAGCTGAGTATGCCATTGCTATCTATATACTATTAATGACTTTGTATCAGGATCAAAAAAATAATAATTCCATTTACTTACGAATCTCGAAGTATCCACACTGCTTGTATTGAGGGTTGCTGGTCTTGGGTACTGTGTACCAGTTGTACCCATTAACTGGTTAACCCGAACCGGTCCAATCCGAACCCACGTTGATTATGGTGATTACGGTAAGTTGTTTACGCCACCGATGATTAGACGAGTAGGATGATTGGATGAACACCGGTGAGTGATGGTTGATTAGATGCACTAGGTGATAGGACGCAGGGTCGCGTGTCTATAACAGTAGGGTGTAAGCTCCAACAATTCAATCACTTTCGAATCTTCATTCTACCCCTCAAGTGCCTTCGCTCCGGTCCCGCCGTCTGCAACGTCCCTCCCTCCGCTTCGTCCGAGCTTCGTGTCCAAGATCCATACCTTCCATCAGGTTATGAGCCCAAGCACCATGTCCTCTGCCCAAGACGCCTCGACCAAGGTCTCCATTGACAAGTTCAACGGGGACAACTACGCGACGTGGAACCGCTACATGCGTGGCGTGTTCCTGACCAAGTCGACGTGGCATGTCGTGAACCGCGAGACGACGCCGAGCTTCACGGACTCGCGGGCCAAGGACGACTACGTCAAGTCGAGCAACATCGCGTTCGGACTGATGTTGCTCCACATGGACGCGGACTACCACCATGTGGTCGACGACTGCGAGGAAGCGTGGGTTGCGTGGACGCGCCTGAAGACGCTGTACGGTGGTTCGCAGAAGGCTGGACGCATCTACCTGAAGCGCCAACTCTTCAGCATGGAGATGTTGGAAGGCGGCAACGTCTTGCATCATTGCAACGAGGTCCTCAACATCAGCGCCAAGCTCAGCAGCATCGGCGCCAAGATGGAGGATGAGGACGGGGCGATCTGCCTGTTGCGCAGCCTCCCCAAGAGCTACGAGAACGTCGTGCTGAACTTGGAGATGAGCAGCGCTGAACTACGATCGCAATACGTCGTGAAGGTGCTGACGAATGAGCACATCAAGAGACAAGGCGAGAAGACGGCGACGGTGAAGACGGAGAATGCGGCCAAGGCGTTCAACACCGACCGCGAGTCTCGCCAGTGTACGTACTGCGGGAAATTGGGGCACACGATTGACAAGTGCTGGACCAAGCAGAAGGACGAGAATTGGGGCCCAAGACGCGGCGGCAATGGCAATGGCCGTGGACGCGGGGCCAACAATGCCCAGTGGAGGAACGACGACGCCAGCTACAACTACGACTACGGCTATGATCGAGTGGCGTTCGCGGTCTCACTGGAGTGTGGCATTTCGACGGGCAAGAATGTGTCCGGGTTGTGGGCGGTCGACAGCGGCGCAACGCACCACATCTGCAACGACAAGGCCAAGTTCGCTCATTTGATTGAGCGGAATGAAGGCGAACTTTCGGTGGCCGACGGCAACAAGGCGGCCATCATGGGTGTGGGGACCATCGTGGAACGAGTGGTTCTGCCCAACGGCGACGAGCGCGACATCGAGATCAAGAACGCGCTGTACGTCCCAAGCATGAGCAAGAATCTGCTTTCGGTGCCACAGATCAACAAGAGTGGTCTGTTCCAAGTCGTGTTCGACAGCACCAAGATGCAGATTGCGCACAAGGGCTCCAAGCAAGTGGTGGCGACGGCAAACCTCGTGGATGGACTCTACTGGCTCCAGACGCCTCAGCGATCGGCGAATGCGGCGACCAGTGGGAAGACGGTCGACTTACACGCGCGTATGGGTCACGCTCCGGTGGAGGTGCTTCGCAAGATGGTCGACAACAACATGATCAAGGACGCGAAGGCACCTTCCAAGTCGAGCGGACCAAGCGTGTGTCGCGGCTGCCAGCAAGGGAAAATGGTCCAGAAGCCGTTCCCAAGCAACCGTGACAAGCGTCACTACGACACGTTCGAGCTGCTCCACTTCGACGTGTGCGGCCCCATGGAAGAAGAGTCACTGGGTGGCAGCAAGTATCTGCTGCTGATCGTGGACGAAGCCAGCGGATGCATGAAGGGGTTCTGCCTGCGTGCCAAGTCGGAGAGCGAGGACTGCATCAAGATGTACGTCACGAAGGTGCAGACGCAGTTCGGCAAGAAGGTCAAGTTTGTGCGGCACGACGGAGCCCGTGAGTTCGCGACCAACTCGCTCAAGGCCTTCTACGAAGTCGAAGGCATCGAGCAGCAAACCACGGTTCCGTACGCGCACCAGACCAACGGCACGGCAGAACGCGCCATCCGGACCATCGTCACGATTGGCCGCAGCATGCTGCATCACGCCAAGCTGGACAAGAGCTTCTGGGCTGAGGCGGCCATGACAGCCATCTACGTGAAGAATCGTCTGCCATCACCCAAGATCGAACACAAGACTCCGTTCGAGATCGTTTACAAGTCCAAGCCGAGTGTGAAGCACATGCGTGTGTTCGGATGCCAGACGTACATCCTGACGCCGAAGGAAAGACGGCGCAAGTGGGACCCCAAGGCTCGCGCCGGGCTGTTCCTCGGCTACGAAGAAGTGTCCAAGGCGTATCGAGTTTATGACATCGAGGCGGGGCAGGTGGTTATCAGTCGCGATGTCAACTTCGATGAGTCGACCTTTGGACTTTCGACGCATACTTCGGATGAAGACGTCGATGATGCTGTGCTGGACTTGGACGCGCTGGACCTGGACGACAACGATGGACCGCGCCAAACGAGCTTCAAGCAGGCGGGGAAGCGCAAGTACCGACCGAGTGGCGACGACAACACTGCCAGAAGATCGCGCCCCGTTCGCCACCGAGCTGGCTTAGAAGAAGCAAGTGCGCCGGACGTATCCTCCTCGCGCCGAGCCGACCCCGACGAAGAAGAAAAGTCTGGGGACCAAGATGAAGACGACGACTCGACGCCCCCAGTGTTTTGGCGTGCCAGTGCCAACGCTGTGGAAGCAGCAGCCGATCTATCGGAGCCGACGACGTTCCAAGAGGCTGTGAACGGTCCTGATCAAGTGCACTGGCGCAAAGCGATCCGCGCGGAGCTCAAGTCGATGCGACTGCGTGGTGTGTTTCGAGCTGCCAAGTTGCCTAACGGACAACGCGCCATCGATACCAAGTGGGTGTTCAAGATCAAGCGCAAAGCGGACGGCTCGATCGAGAAGTACAAGGCGCGCCTCGTGGCCAAGGGCTTCAAGCAGAAGTACGGCATTGACTACACCGAGACGTTCTCGCCCGTGGTCAAGTATGTGACACTGCGCATGGTGATCGCGATTGCTAAGTATTTTGGCTGGCCCCTCGACCAACTCGACGTGGTGACAGCATTCCTGTACGGGATAATGAAGGAGGTGGTCTTCTGCGTGGTTCCGGAAGGCGTCGAACTGAATGGTGACTTCGACTGCCTGGAACTGGTGAAGGCCATCTACGGTCTCAAGCAAGCTTCGCGAGTGTGGAACGAGACCTTCGACGAGTTCGTGTGCTCCATCGGCTTCCAAGTGTCGGCCTTCGATCCGTGCCTCTACATCAAGGTGGTGGACGGTCACTGCGTGCTTGTACTGGTGTACGTGGATGACGTACTGATTACCGGGAGTTCGCCCGAGCTGATCGCATGCACGAAGACCGACCTGAAGACGCGCTTCGAGATGAC